CAGAAGAAAAAGCTAGCTAGTTAGCTAGCTAGTTAGCTTGGCCAGTAGCAAGCTTAAATGCGATCAAAACATTACCATAGCTTTGCTGACATTGTGAACTACGATCACAAAATGCCATATTAGTTAACAACAATTTGAAAAGTACACCTTACCTATCTTTTTTAGTTTTATATTTTTTTCAGATTAAATGGAGATGTTTTGAACACCAGAAGATTCCTCTCTGTTGCCATCCATAGAGATTGAAAAAAAGGTCTTTTTTGATTAAGTAAGAAGTAGAAAGTACAGTGAAAATCAATTGGTTGGAAAATAAAAGCTTTCGATATTTATGTATTGGTTTATTTTTACTGTATGTATGTTAATTCTTTGTGACTTATATAGACGGATAGATGAAAAATCTACTTAAGTACGGTAACAAACGTTTTGTACTTTGTTACATTGCACCGCTGTAAATGCCAACATTACATTTCCAAGCTGTTTGAGCGTAATTCGATCTAGTTGCAATCCAGTTTCAAATCGCTTTCGATCGTGAACCTTTCTGTCCTTCTGACATCAGATCTCCTGCCGGTGTTCACTCCCTTGCTGTGTTGCTCATGGAGCTCCAACCAGGCGCCGATGGGCCTCAGATCTTAGCAGCAGACGCCCTGTACCAGCTGGGACGAGTGGAAGAGGCATATCGCTTGCTGCTGCTTTCCATCGGGCCTAGCGCTCCTCAGGCACCCGTCCTGGTCCGACTCATACTGCTGCAGCTGCACAGGGGCTTTCTTTATGACACCAATCAGGTAGAGAATCTTGAAACATGTTGCCTTTTCTCTTACGCATTTTTCCCTTTTGTATTTTGTTGGTCAACATGTGCTTATTTATTGCTGTCACATGTGGCAGCAGTCCAAATAAAGCTCAATGCACTTAGGGTCTTACATTGTTTGAAAAAGACTAAATTGATTTATTTTACTTGTAGGCCTTTGCCGAAGGAACACAGCAAAAGAACAGCCATTCTGTAATATGATGAAATAAAAAACAGGCCACCTACCAATTACAGTACTGATTATTCACTCTTCATTGTATTGCTTTTTATTCACAGGGGCTTACTGTAGAATTAAAATTTTGGTTGAACTGATGTTACCAGGTAGTTTGGCTCGTGACAAGGCAAAATTCAATATTCTTTCCACTCAGTCATATTTATTACCGTACTTATATATTCTTGTAATTTCCATTGAATGAGGATTTATTTAATCCCACCCCCCTCCCTTATCAATCCACCTGCCCCGATTTTACAGCTGTTAAAAAAGCTCATTCAATGTGGGGACACCAGCTGCTTGCGCCCCTTGTTGGCATTCGCCAAGCAGAAGGACCGGGCACTGCTTCAGGCGCGCTGCCACTCCGCTGCCAAACGCATCCTCGAGTGCGCGACAGAGGAGAGTGCCATCAGGGAGGCTGTGGGCTACCTCTCCATCGCCATCATCATCGCTGGTAAAAAAACAAATAAAAAAAAAAACAAAGAAAGAAAGAAAAAAAAAGAAGGTCTGAGCAGGAACCAAGTCATTTTCAAACGTTCGCAGGTGGCGAGGCGGCAGACTCCTTGCTGGAGAGAGCGAGGTGCTATGCTGTGCTCGGCCAAAGAAAGACAGCCATCTTTGATTTCAGTGCCATTCTCAAGGAGCACCCCAAACATGTTCAAGCACTCTGTGGAAGAGGTTTCACATACCTTCTGCTCAACCAGCAAAAGGTACAACTCAGACATCGCTAGAGAGGGCAGAAAAATGGATAAATATAATGAAAGTGTTGCTAAGTTGGCAAGCTGTAGACACAAGTGGTAGAATTGCTCCCGACCACACTTGTAATAGCGTCTACTTGTTCACATCAAATAAAAGCGCAACTTTCAAAATAAAAGCACAGCATTTTTTTTTTTTTTTCATTTTACTTTTGAGTTCATGGTCAGCGTGAGGGCCGGTTAGGGACTGTGGGCGAGCCGGATGAATCCCCCGTGCCCTACTCTGCTCAGACTTGAGCAACTCTACACGATACCGAAATTGAATTCCGGAAATAAATGAAGATTTCTACCATTTTGTAATTTCTCGAGCCACACGTGTATTTTACATATTGCCTTTGTCCCCTAAAATTTAGATTCCATCCAACCATAAAGCAAAACACTATTTTTTTTCCTACTGCAGGAATGCATTCATGACATCCTGGGGGCACTGCAGATAAACACTGACGAGGTCACCAAGGACCTTCTGTCACTCAAGGACCGGACGCGCAAGTTGGTCTGTGATTGGCTGCATGAGTTCTGCAGGAGCAGCCTGTCAGACATCCTGGTCGCCGACGCTGCTCCCTGCCACGAGGATCGGCTCAGGGAGGCTTCCATCGTCTGCGCTGCTCTGAAAAGGACTGACTGCGCAGCGCCCAGATGGCATCTCCTTTGTGTTGACATACTTTTAGCCAAAGGTGATTCTCAGTCAATCTTTGCTGATTGAATACGCACGAATGGCTTCACTTGAAATCTTCTGCGTAGGTTTGCACTGATGTTCATGTACTTGCTTGTATGGTCCAATCTGCTTCAGGTGAAGTGAAGACGGCAGGTGCCTACCTTAGCCAAGTGTTTACCCAGGAGCCAAGAGATGCTGCGGCCCAAGCCAGGGCAGGTGTACTGGAGGCTTGGCAGCACAACTACTGCGGTGCAGCCCGTAGACTCTGCAAGCTCGCCGAGAAAGAACCTTCATGTCTGGACTTCTTGTTGGCTCTGATCCCAGCCCATCAGAGGAAACAAGTAGCAAAGGTGCGCAATTTTTATCCATCCATAATCAGCCAATTATTTTTGGGATTTTAAATGGTACTGTCCACTTGCCCAAGCCTAGGAAAGACACTAAATAGTGATGAGACTTATTTCTATGAGTCAAAAGGTTAAACTAAGGTTCCTTGTAGGGCTAGTGGAAGTCCATTTGAGGGGAAGCCTCAAGGTACAATCTCTGCTCAAGAACCACATCAGGACACTTTGTGAACTCCAAGATAATGGTTTCAACCTTTTATAGTTACATAATTCATTATTTCCTGTATAATATATCACTAAGCTACCCACACATGTTTTTATTAGCACCGAATAAGATAAGAATAGAATAAGAAGAGCAAAACCAGATTTAAAAAAAACATGATGCATTTTTTACACAACTCAAAGCGGTTACCACTTTTTTTCAATAGCATGTTTATAACATATATATATTTTTTCTTTTTCCTTGGCAGGCAGCAGCACAGGATGCCAGCAGCGCATCTTCAGACGGAAGCTGGGATCGGGCCCTTCCTCTCCTGACAGTGGCGATACAAGCAGCAGACAAACAGCGACTGCGGTATCTTCGCCAGCGGGCAGCCTGCCTGGCGCGACTTGGCTTACACGAGCGGACCATAGCAGACCTTGATGGAGTCATTCAGAAGCACGGCTGTTCCGATGAGAGCTGCGAAACAAGTAGCAAAGGTGCGCAATTTTTATCCATCCATAATCAGCCAATTATTTTTGGGATTTTAAATGGTACTGTCCACTTGCCCAAGCCTAGGAAAGACACTAAATAGTGATGAGACTTCTTTCTAGATGAGTCAAAAGGTTAAACTAAGGTTCCTTGTAGGTCTAGTGGAAGTCCATTTGAGGGGAAGCCTCAAGGTACAATCTCTGCTCAAGAACCACATCAGGACACTTTGTGAACTCCAAGATAATGGTTTCAACCTTTTATAGTTACATAATTCATTATTTCCTGTGTATAGTATATCACTAAGCTACCCACACATATTTTTATTAGCACTGAATAAGATAAGAATAGAATAAAAAGAGCAAAACCAGATTTTAAAAAAACATGATGCATTTTTTACACAATCAAAGCGGTTACCACCTTTTTCAATAGCATGTATGTTTTTTTTTTGTTTTTTTTTTTTTTTTTCTCCTTGGCAGGCAGCAG